CTTTGGAGGGGGGTTTTTTTTTTTTTTTTTTTTTTTTTTTACACATGATGATCCATATGTATCTCCTATTTCAATCCAGAGATCTCACTGGGAACCGATTGAGCAGTCTCCCGCTCACTGGGCTAACAAGCCTTACTCATCTTAAACTGAAAGGAAACATGGCACTCTCGCGTTCCTTCAGAGAAGAGGACTTCCCCAACATAAGGTACATTTGTGGTAGCCAATAACCCCACAAAGTCAATCAACTCCGCCATCCTCATAGGCACATGATATCTCATAACAACAGATTAGCTAGACTTAAAACACTTTCATGTTAAACCATCAAAGAAAATTCACAAGTGTTTGTGGTTATTAATTCCCACAACACAAATGCCTTGAATAGTTCAAAAACACATGAAGTTTTTATTTTGTTTTCAGAGAAACGTTCAACTGTTTATAATTTTTTACTGTTTAAGAGAATGTGTTGCCCAAGGAACATTCTGTTCATCGGTACAAGTAAACGGTTTTTGTTTGTTAAGTTTCCTAGAATATCTGGCTCAATGCAAGATCATCTGACAGGCAGAAAGATTATTTCAAGATACCCCAGTATTCGCAAAACAGAGAGGCTGTTATAAATATCCAGTCTCGATTCATCAGCAGCTCAGGGCTTTGGAGACGCTCTAAAACTTCAGTCTTAAGCACTTACGTGATTTGATTAGCACCTCAAAAAAGGTTTCAAGTATTACCATTCCCCAAAAACAACCGATTAAGCAAAAGCAAATGAAAGAGAATCACAGTTTCAACAGTGACCCAAATACATATAAAAAGTCCTTGCGGTTAGATGTATTGCTAGTTTACTTCATGCATCATTTGCAGATTGATGAATCATTCTTTCTCTGATTTTTTTCCCCCTCTGAAATGGGATCTTTTATAGTTTCCTCAAACTGATGCAATATGTACTTGTTTTTAATGGTCAAACTCCATTTGGCAAGCCAGAAGAAATAATTGATGTAAACATAAAATATGTGGTATAAAGATAATGGTGGAACATATGAAATTATTTTTGTTTTAGTTTTATACATCGTGTCACTGTTATTGAAACAGGGTCATTGAGATGCCATATGCCTATCAGTGCTGTGTTTTTGGAGCCTGCAAAGGCTACAAAGCAGCCAGCCAGTGGGAAGAACAGATGGGCAGTGAAGAGGAAGATGTCCAGAAGAAAGCTCTGTCCCTGTTCCCCATTCACACTGACACCAACTGTAAGTCCTGCAACTTCACTAGGCCATCTCACAGATCAGGATAACATTATGCAACTTTTTTTGAAACTTTGAAAAAAAGTTGCTTTGCCATTTGCAAAATATTACAATTGCCTTTAACTTACCAATGTAATAACATGGTATTCTTTGGAGTATACCTACCTATCAAAAGTTGACCAACGGTCTAAACCAGTGGTGTCCAGTCCTGATCCAGGAGGGCCACTGTCCTGTAGCTTTTAGCTCCAAGCCCAATTAAACACACCTGAACCAACTAATCAAGGTCTTTCTCGGCATATTAGAAACTTCAAGGCAAGTGTGCTGAGGCGAAGTTGGAGCTAAACTCTGCAGGACAGTGGCCCTCTAGAGCCAAGTTTGGACACCCCTGGTCCAAACATTGGACCGATGGAGTACCAAGTAAATCAGGGGATGTCAGCCCTGGCCCTGACGGTCCACTTTCCTACAGAGGTTAGCTCCAACCTTGACCAAACTCACCTCAACTTTCTTGAAATCCTAAAGACCTTGATTAGCTTGTTCAGTTTGAACAGGGTTGCAGCAAAACTAGCCAGAGGTTTGAGGACCCCTGATGTTAATACTATTGCACTGAAGAGAACAGGTAGACTCCCTGAGGTGGTCATACAAACAGCTAGAAGAAACCAGTTGGTTAGGTTGAAATTATTGGGGCAAGTTTCCAAACTACAATACTGAATTGTAGCAAGTCACTCAAGTTTGTACAGTAAACATTTTATCAGAGTCCCTGTAACCAAAAATGAAAACATTGGCCCTACATGAACACGTTCATCATATGAAAGGAACATAAAAGCAGCACTTGTAGCGGTTTTCCACAGTGTGTGTGTGTGTGTGTGTGTGTGTGTGTGTGTGTGTGTGTGTGTGTCTAGCTTTATCTGCTCGGTTCTATCTACCAGTCTCTTCATCTTTAATTAGCACAGTAGAAACATGTCAGGGCCTTTACAGTAACCGCAGGTATTTGACAGATGAAATAAAACGTGTCTTTTCTCCATGCATTCCTTGATGCGATCTGATCAGGTTTCAGACTTGAAAGGGGCTCTCTGTAATTACACTCCATGGGAAATTAGATAAACATTAACAATTCAAGGTCCAAAACATACCATTTGGCGTATCGGAAAATAACAAAACCAGAATGTGATCAAAGCCTGATGTTTGATTGCACACTGAAGGAGAAATGGAAAGTTGCAACTGAGATGTGTACGGTGTTGAGTGGTGCTAAAGCCCTTAGATAAATTAATCCGTTCCAGCAGACTAGATGTCCATAACATGGTGATTTATCTTCTGAGTGCATCATGTCATCTTGAAGAAGACTGAAGACTGTTTCATCATACTGGTGTACATGCACAAACCAAAGGTGTCTCATGCTTTTCTTGTGTTCACTTGCAGATGACCTTGACTTAGAGGAATTCCAGTTAGGTATTGAAGAGTCCAAACTGCAAACCAGCATACAGTGTACCCCCATCCCAGGTAAATTCAACCAGCAGCAGATCTGAACTCAAGGTCATGCATATGCCATCAAGACTGTAAAGGCCTGTTCACATCAAGTACAAACGAACTAAACGGCAAGCATGGTAAAGAAAGACATATTTGCAAACAGTTTTCACACCAAAACTATGCATGCTTCTCCAATTCTCCACCAAACACTTCACCCTAGCGTTATTGTATTACGGTCTGATGAAACTTCAAGTGTTGCAGTTTCCAGAAAAAAAATAAATAACAAAGAAAGAATGCTGGTTTTAGCTATAACCTAATACTTATAAAACAGCTGTTCTGGTTAGATTTTTTTGATGGGTCACTTTTCTCTTTGCATTTTAATAGGACCACTAAAGTGGAAAAAAAAAGTACTAGAATGCAATATTTACAACTTTTTTTAATGTGCTTCAGTACATTTAAAGTAGTCAAATGTATTTTTATGTATTAAAAAATACTCAAGAGAAAATATTTTAAGGCAAGGAAAATGTGGTCTATTATCTTTCTCTGTTTTAATATTCTATATCAACAATATATTCGCAAAGTATTTTTTGCACCAAAATCATTTACTATCCCCCCATTTCTGCCATGTTCTGAAAAAGTTCACAAAAAAGTGTGCTTCATTCGTAAAAATTAAAACTTTGTTATTTTGTTGTACATTTGATCCATACTAAAATTCAGTCTTGGTGTGAATAGGCCTCAAGGTGATGTGTTCTTTCTGCTTAAATTCTAATTTATCATTTCACCCCTTCAGGTCCATTTAAACCATGTGATAACCTGTTTGACAGTTGGGTGGTACGGCTTGGCATGTGGCTCATCGCTTTGGTCTCGCTGATGGGAAACAGCCTTCTCCTCATGACAGTCTTTGCATCCCCCAGCTATCTCGCCCCTGTTAAGTTCATCATCGGCACCATCAGTGGCGCCAACCTGCTTACAGGCCTGTGTACTGGCACCATGGCATTGGTTGACGCCCGGACATTTGGAGAGTTCGCCCTGCACGGCGCTCAATGGGAAATGGGTACAGGCTGCCAAGCAACAGGTTTTCTTTCAGTTCTAGCCTCGGAGGGCTCCATACTCTTCCTGACCTTGGCTGCAGTGCAGTGCAGCGTATCCGTGTCGTGCGCTCGAGCCTACGGTAAGTCGCCCTCTCTGGGAAGCGTGCGAGCCGCAGCAGTGGCGTGCTTGGCACTTTCGTTGGCAGTCGCCGCTTTGCCACTTATTGGGGTCGGGGAGTACGGGGTAACTCCGCTTTGCATGCCATCACCACTGCCAGATGGCGAACCTTCCACGTTGGGATTCATGGTCACTCTGATAATGATGAACTCCCTGTGTTTCCTGGTGATCACCGGAACTTACATTAAACTGTACTGGGACCTGATGAAGGGAGACTTTGACAGCATTTGGGATTGCGCCATGATCAAGCACGTGGCCTGGCTTATCTTCACCAACTGCCTGCTCTACTGCCCCGTGGCCTTCCTCACCTTCTCCTCCCTTCTGGGACTCTTTCCTGTGAGCGAGGAGGTTGTCAAATCAGTCGTCCTGGTGCTTCTGCCTCTTCCTGCAAGCATCAACCCCTTGCTCTACCTCCTCTTTAATCCACACTTCCGTGAAGATGCACGTCTGCTTTTGAGCAGAGCTCACCTCCATCATGACCGCAACTTGGATTCCTTCATCTCTGTTGACACAGAGAAAAGCTCCTATGACTCCACTCAAGCCTTGGTGTCCTTTGCCGCTGAAGCAGATGCAGCGTATGAGAGTTCATCGGCACCAAACTCAGAGACAGTTGCCCGGTTTTCTTGCCCACCCTCAGTGCCTCTCATCCCATGCCAGATGCAGATGAAACCCTCAACAGAAAGGGATAATGTTGCAGAGAATCTGGTCAGGTCAACACCAGGACTCACTGTCAAAGAGCAGGAGCACCTTAGGAGCAGTGGACTGGACACTCATAATGGAACCTCCTTCTCTGGAGTCTACCACTCCCCACATCTCTCAACTCATTTTTAAGTCTTCTCTTAACTCTAAAGTTTTTAAGGACCCTTTGAGCACAAGAAGTCATGAGCCCACATATGAACTGACCGCTAAAACCTTCAGAGCTAATGAACAATTAACTTTTAATTTGGGACTATATAAAACCATACAGTCCCAACTGCTACATGGCATTCTTAAAGAAAAAAAAAAAAGGAAAGAAAGCCTAATCACATTTTTGTGACACAATCTTGTGGGCCCTTAAGTAATTTAAGCAACAATCTTAAAATGTTCAAAAACAAATCTGCATTAAATTTTTGTAACTTGTTTGTGTAATTAGGTTTAAAGGAATGTTCTGGGTTTAATATCATCTCCATCCATGAAATATTGATGATTTTCACATAAAAACAAATATATATATTTTTTTGGACTCAACCCTATATTTAAACAAGAAAAAAAAAGTAATGCATTATGTACACACAATGGAAGTCTATGGGGCAAAGTACTGCACCGGCATTAAACATTTAAATGCACACTGCATCTACAAAACAGTGTCAAACAAAGACAAATCCAATGACAGAAATTTTGTTGATAATGCATAACCAGAAATGAATCCACCAACAGTGGTCTCACATCTCATGAGCATTGCATTTCATTGTTTTGAACATGGGACATTCCTTTAATTAGGAAATATCACAGGGATGTTTGCTGATGTACAAGGAGTTATGCATCTAAATATTTCAATGTGAAAAATGTCTCTACAAAAAGCTCAGTTCTTATGTACTCAAACTTTTATGCACTCATTTCCAAGTGTGTATATATCAAAGTCAATGAATTATTTGTTTCGTTAATTATTTGCAAGTCATCACTTGCTTACTTGCCCCTAGTGAATAAACCAAAATGTATGGGAAGATAAATACCGATGTATATTGTCAAATAATATTTAGTGTATTGAAAAACGACAAAAAAACAAAACAAAAAAACATATAAGCTAAGACATATTGCCAGAAACATACTCTCTGCAAGTACACAAAAGGCTTGGTCAATGCGCTGCAAGCTGCAGTTCATGATGTATATATTTAGCATGCATTGTGGCAGTAAGAAACCTTGAGGGGTGACAGAGATACCTTCAAGTGTTTGTTCCATTAATTCAGGTAGCTGGCTATAAACATGTTGACAACTAATTTTAACTAATCGACTTCTTCAAACTGTTGCTCCACCATGAAAGAAGCAAAAATGCACCATAGGAGACATTATACTAATTCATACCATACTCCACATGACAGTAACTCTGAGAATGCAATACATATAACAAAAATAAATAAATAAATAAAACATACTAAAACAAATTTAAAACATATTTTCATAATAATTTGCAATGCAACACATTTCAGAATTAAACGCTGCATTAAACTCAAGCTTGCATAACTAGAAGCATTTCCATTCATGTACTTGCATAGACTATGTTTGACCTTCATATTTTTGTTTTTTTTGTCAAGTTCACAGGATTAAGGTAGAGCAAAACATGAAATATATTGAACATGTCCATGCTATAAACTGAAGATTAAGAACTGAGTGTTTTGATTAGGTTGTAATAAAGCTTGGTCGGGATCTTGTAACAGATTGTTAAGTAGGCTAGCTATTGTATTGTAAAATATAACTACCTCTGATCTAGCATGCTATACCTTTTTATCCTTATTGATTTCTATTCTTTTTATATTAAATGTATATTAAAATGTAATTGTTATATTGAAATGTTAAGATCTTTGTACAACAGACACTATTCTGGATGTAAATATTTTCATATTTCTGTATACATGTGATAAAGAATGATTTAATAAAGTTATTAGTTTCATAAATGTATGTCTTTAAGACTACTGAACAATTCAGGGAGATATAAATGTACTTCTACATTTTCATCAACAATAAACACAAAATCCTGTCACAAAATAAACTGGATAAAATGAGATCAGTATAATTTAGATGTTCCAAGATTTTCTTGGGTTACTCTGAAGTGCTTCCAATGACACATATTTTTTCTGACTTTCATATTTTTATTCTTAAGAAAAATCTTTTCATCTGTGTCCCCAACACCCTTCAAACATAAGAGAGAAGTGAAACAGTGCAAACAGACTGTAGAATAGAAGAGCACTTGCTTCCCCCAGTGTCTGATGTGTGATGACAGTGTATGAATTGTTGGGACTTTGCCATTGATAGACAGACAGTCCTGAAAAGAATAAATCTTACCTTGTTCTTCTGCACTGCATGGTCAGCCATCAATACCTTTGCCTTCTCTCTGTATGCAGGAAAGTATGTCAGACACTTCATTCATTTTTAAGAGGAATGTTAGAGCAATAACAGTCAGAACACTTCTTTTCACATGCGTGTGCACTCAAATGGGCAAGACTGCAAGTGTGGTATAGGGATGCACCGATAGGATTTTTTTTTGGCAATACCAATACCAACCACCGATTTCAATGTCGATATTTGTCACTTGCATACAATACTAAACAGTACTAGCTAGTTTATTTCTGCATTAAATTAATTTCACTGAACATGGATTGGATGGATCCATTTAACATTCAACTGACCAATATTTAAGAGGCACAAATTAAGATAAAAAAAGAAAAATACAATAAGACAACATGACAGTCTTCAGAAGTGATTTGTGCTATCCAATATTTCTTTTATTAACAACATTAACTGATATTTGACATATAATAGAACATATTTCTTTAATAAACGTAACAAATAAAGACAGTGCTGTTGCTACATCTATTAAGTATGAATTTTGCAACTTCAGAAAGAGACTGACTGCTTTTCGCCCACTAAAGTGCAGTCTATTTCTTTTTTTTTTTGTCCAAGATGTTTGAGCCAGCACTGAACAATGGTTTTCTGTCAGCGCTTGAGCATGGTGCACACCAGAACATCAAATAATTTCAATTGAACATAGATCAGATCTGTTTAAAAAATGAAAACTTCAACAACAAAAAAAAGACCTTTGCAATAAAACGTTGCCTTGTTTTCACTTACAAACTCAAGAACAGTTAATTCAGTCCTTGTGCACACTAGAACACTGAATCATTTTACATGAACATAGATCTGTTCAACAAAGATTAAAATATGACATGACAAACTTCAAAGGTTTTTATTTAATTTTTTTGCAATAAAACATTAATTTTTAACAACATAATCATATTTAAACTATTATAGCATAACAGTTTAAAAATTCATGAACAGTTAATTCAGTCCATTTGCTGTTATCAAGTATTACGGTCGCTGCTTTAGAAACAGAGGCAAAGTTCTTCCCTATAAAAAGAAGCTTTTCTGCTTTTTCACAGTGCAGTCTGTTTCTTTTATTGTCCAAGACACTGGATGCAGCACTGAACAATCGTTCACTGTCAGTGCTTGTGCACGGTGCACACAAATATTTGCATACAATACTATACATGTTTCTTGATTCTCATTTCTTTTAGTTGGGATTTCTGCAAACGTATGCATCAATTTGTGGCATGGTAGGGGTAATCCTAAATCTTTGTGATAACTTTTCCTCCAGAACTTCGTCGAACATGTCAAACAGACTGGGTGCCTGTTCATTTTCTTTGCACGACTTTTTGGGTTGTCCTCTGGGTGGTGCACCGTGTCTTTTTTTTCCAGCACTTTAGTCACTAAAATCCAGCTGTGCTTGGAGATCAGGTTGAGCTTTCTCCTGCTTTTTGTCTTATCTTATCTTTGTATCTTGGGTCTTTCAGTGTTGCGATCACACTATATCGATACAATAAAGAGGTTCGGAGTCAATTTTAGTGAAATGCTTTGCCACCGCATCTAAAAGTGTGTTTTGTGTGTGTGTGTGTGTGTGTGTGTGTGTGTGTGTGTGTGTGTATGTTTTTTACTCCCTGGTCAATTTCAAGGTCCTTGCTCAGTAGTCGCTTTAGCGCAACAACTGATGGAATCACATCCGCTGCAGATCCTCCAGATGCACTCATCTCCCTCGTTAGTTGCTCAAATGTGTAAAGAATAGGCACTATTTTCTCATTTAAACACCAATGATGGGCAGTTTATGTCATGGGCAGAACATAATCTGCACTAGCCTAAGCCACGATTGCTTGCTTTTGATCCAAGAGGCTTCCAGCATATAAAAATTACTGTTCCACCTTGTTGCAACGTCTTGCTGAAGAATTTTTGGTTGCAGTCCTAACTGAATTTGGACACGGTGTATGTGTGAGTAATAAAGCTCTCAATAAAAGTATTATAACATGCACTCAATATAGATTTTTGTACACAGAAAGAGTCCAGCTTCCTCAGGGCAAACATTCTTTGGTGAACCTTCTTGATAATAGCCTCTGTATTCTGATGAAAATGTTAAGGCTGTATCAAAAATGGTTCCAAGGTATTTGTACTCCTCTACTCTATCGAACTCTTTGTCCTGAATAAGCTCTTTGCCCTGTGAGACTGAGCATGCATGTAGGGCTGACATCAGAGCTCCAAATGTTGTAAAACTGATGGCTGATATAGGCCTATCAGTAGAGCTCATGTATATGCGCTGCTACAACATTGTACATGTCTGGTAGGCACACGTCTGAGAAGTATGGCCTGCTAGGGAGTAACGAACCTCCAAAACCCCACGTCTTCCATGACGGAAAACGACTGATTGTCTAGTGCAATAAACTCCATAATTTTTGGGGTAATGCCTTTTGTTTTGATGCTGTCTTGAGTAAACTTATTTAGGCTACTCTTTCAAATACCTGAGCCACAGAAGGTGTTGGAACACTGGGAGGCGGCAGAATTTTCTAGGCGGCACAGAACGCAGCATACTGTTCAGGATACCTTTTCAGGTGGCAAATTAAATTGGATGTGTTGAAACTCTTAGCCATGCTACCCCATCTTGATATTTCTCCAGAACACTCATTGCAAATGGTGATTATTTTAATGGGTATTTTTTGGACTCCTATTCAGCGCATGGCTCATGTGAATGTTGAGTAATCACTAGGGATGGGCATTTTCCAAAAATGTTGCATTCTAAAATTTGGGCTCATAAAAAAACGAATATTCGTTTATTTAAATGAGGTTTAATGAGAAAGACGTTATTTTTAATTATCAAGTTTTTGTCACGATTTCTGAAGCTTATGATTAGCCGTTACACAACAATGTTCTACAACAACGTTACGTTATATCACAAGGTTTTAGTTTGGTTGAAAACGTGTAAACAAAAAAAAATACATAAAAAAAAAGCATTCAAGATCAAGCAGAGCAAGCGGAAAAATCAAGCAGACTGTGCCAATTACAGTACAGAAAGTAGGCTACATGTACTCGAGTCGGCCTATATTTATTGTGTTTACATTGTTTCACGTATTAATTCTGAGAGAAACAATAATATCCACATGCTCGGGTGAAAGT